GGTCTGTGTGTGTGTGTGTGTATGTGTGTCCATGGGTCAGAATGAATGGGTGTGTGTGAGGGATACCTCAAATTTTTCTTTTCTTATTTTGTGTGAAAATCTCTTTTCTACAGATTTTCCAGGGTTTAAGCATTGCTTGCTGTATGAAAAACTTTACTGAATTATATACAGTTTGAATGAAATGTTATTTTAAAAACAAAACAATTGTTAAGTGTTCCATAAAGGTTATGTTGAATTTTGGTCAGATGAATATTTGTAAGTAAAGAATATATGCATTTCTGAACCTCAACTTACATAGATTTTCTTTATAAAAACAAACAAAAAAAAGAAGAAAAAGAAAAGTTTGGCTATAGTTGGCCTGAAAAACAGGCACTATATGTGGTGCTGTGCAAAATAGTAAGCTAGCATCTTACTGCCGTCATTATCAGCAGGTACAGAGCTGCTCTTCAGCCTAATTCAGTAAGCTCTCAGGCTTCCAAGTCAGATGCAGAGGGTGGAGTGGACTGAGGTTACAAAGTCACCATACTTTTTTAAAACTTCGAAGGGAACTACAACTACTGAGAGTGAAAGCCCAACTGTGACTCTGTGGGCTCCCGTTGGCAGGAACTGGCACCGAGAGCCTCCTGCCCGCCCTAATTCCTGCCACCTGGCATAGCAGTGTCTGCCAGGACCCAGACCCAGTCGTGGAACCTTATACTCAAACTGAAGTAGGTCATTACTTCCTGAAAACAGTCCTGTCACCTTGGGCTTCCTGAGACAGCATATATCACTGTGAAACTAAAGAATGTCCTGTAGATCCATCTATAGAAAGAAGCAAAGAAAGGAAACAGTTTAGAAAGCTGTTTTTCCCTTAATTATACTCAGTAAATGACTAGTCACTCAGGACTGCTACTTAAGTATGTTTTTATAAAGCTTGATTGAAATATTAGTGAAAGATATGGCTAATATCTTTACCTGCCTCAAGCCAAAAGCACTGAAATTTGTGAGAAAGAAAGAGAATCTCCCCAGGATGACTGACGATGACTTCTATTCTTTTTATAGCGGGTACTGCTTAGCCCTTTGCCGCTCTTAACTTGGCACCTGCTCTAACATCTGGGTCAGCTTCAAGTTGTAGTCAGCAGGTTGCTCTTGACTGTTCGAAGGTAGAACCAGCCCGCCTTTTCCCTTTGCTAAAAGAAGGTCCAAAAGGTCAAAGGCACTGCAGCCAGGAAGCGAGGTCTGCGTCCAGAAGCTCGCCCTGAGGTGTGCCGCCGACAGGATCCCAGGCCCACCATCCACTCCTGATGGGTCTGCTCAAGTCACAAACACCCCACCCCCAAACTGCACCTTCCCTGGAAGATTTAAACATGTTTGATTGCAAATGAATGTTTCTAAAATGTATTTAATATAATTTCTCCTGTACGCAACATGACCACCCAAGATTCAAACAGAAATTTCCAAGTTGTTATTTTTTCAGCACATCGCCAACTTAAAATCTGTCATGACAGGGACTTGGGTTTTGTGCAGCCATCAGGGTGCTAATGTGAAAAAGCCAATTTAAAGAAAATCTAGTTTATTCAGAATAAAGCCTTATTTAGGCCTGCTCATTGAGATTTCTAGTACTGAGAAAATATCCTAGGTTGGCATTTGTAACACAAAACACTAGAGAGTTGGTATTCCAAAGTACCAGGTAAATATAAAGAAACCAATAATGAATTGCTGAGACAATCTTGAACCCAAATAGCATTAGAAAGCTGAAGGCCCAATGAAATAACACTTCTACACTGAACTCTATGGATAAATCTTGCCTGTGACTATAAATAGATGGTCAAAGAAAAAGTGTTTTACTATAATTAACTTTTCTGATTTGAATGAAGGAAATGTATTTATTGAAACAGAGCTGTTTGCTGCTTTACACAGGTGCAGTGTTCAGTCAGCAAGGAAGGGGGAGGAATGGGACTTGGTCTTGTGTCTCCACTCAAGTTCTTAACAAAGCTTCTCACTCTCTCTAATACTGCATTCTGTTTCTCCTTTTGTGCCCTGATTGTAACCCAAAATTTATGAACTAGAAAAGAATGTCCAATTTAATAAGTTGCATTTTTTTCCTTAAGCACTTTATGCAGAACAATACTGGTAGTGTTTGGATAATATGATTTTAACACATGCTAATAAAAGCCAAGAAAAACCATGGCAACTTTTAAAAAAGAGTCTGTTTTCCAAATGTCTCGAACATTAGGAAACATTAGAAGATAATGTGTACTGGTTTTTGGCACCTGATTCTTAGTGACTGAGATGTTGGGAGGTGACTTTGTATTTCAGAGTGGAAGCCAGTGCCATGGGGTAACTGCTACAGGGATGCCTGCTGCAGTCTGGGGCCCCTCTATTCCTGGCCTCCAAAAGCCCCGCAGACCATTTGCAGGTCACCACTCCCAGCCATCAGGACCCCCCATCCCCATGTTGCATCTACTCCCTCTGTTCTCGCCTTTTCCCCTTCTGTAGCCTCAGCTCCATTTGCCACCGCCTGCTGGACTCAGACAGAGTTTGGCAAATGACCATCTGCACAGTGTACACACAGCTGCCATGCCCCCGCAGAGGTGCCCAGATGTTCTTCACCTGCTTAGTGTGTGCTCTGCTTTTCCCCACCTCCAAAATGTGGAGAAGCACCTCCTGACCTCACTAGAAACAGGGAAAGCCAAGGACACTCATCCTTGAATGTGGAGGGAGGCTGGTGAGTGGTTGGCAGGAGAGGAGAATTCTTTGAAAGGGAAACTTGAAGTGAGGCCTGAGAAAGGAGAGGAAAGGGGACCCCCCACCTGGGTAGGTGCTGGTCCTGCCCCAGTCCTGTCCCTTTGCACTGACTTCCCTGGTTGCTGGGCAGAGACACATGTCAGAGCAATTTGGGTCCATGGCTCGGCTTCAGGAAAAACAGGGCACTCCCAAGGAGCACACGGATCCTACAAGCCACCTTTCCTCCCTCTTTCTGTGCAGCCCCTGACTTCTGGCCTTGGCTCTGCCAGGAAAACAGCCTTTCACTGAGTAGATCACCAGTCTTCCTTGACTTCATGGAGCTGGGCCTGCCATCTGGCCTGTCAAGCACTCACACCCAGTCACTAAGAGACCTTAATGCCGAAACAACTGCCATCATGCACCTGACAGCTTCTGTTATAAGAAGCCAGATCCGGGTCTCTACGAAGAAATTCCATCCTCAGAGAGTGAGCTGGTATTTCAGAGACTCTCAGGAGCCATCTCACTCCGCCACTCCCCAAATCCTGCCACAGACTTTCTGGAGTGAGAAAGGAAATGCCTTCCCATGTAATAGAAGGCTACCCGTGTTGCCACCCCTCTCCTCTGGTCCTATCAATTAGTGCCCTTCCTACTCCCCCACACAGCCCTACCATTCCCAGCTACTCCTGGGAAGACAAAGGTCATCAGACCAGCGCACATCTCCCCCCACAGGGTCACTTCCCCCAGCTATTCTTCCTCTCTCTTCCCTGCTTTCAGATGCCTGATCTCTCCTCTCTTCAGTGACAGAAGATCCTTGGCATTTCGAATTCTGGGAGATCAAATAGCTGTCAGCTGGGTAAACTGCCGAGTACTTCATTCAGAACCACACAGCACCTGTGGTGTGTAAACCCAGGCTTAGGCCTCTAGTGCTTCAAGGTATTTGCCAGCTCTTAGGTGGGCACAAGCCAATCATGTCCCTTTTAAGCTCACTCATGAAAGGGAAGAGCACAGCCCTTTGGTGTGCTGTGTGTCTAGATTCTAGAAGAGTGGACTCAACTTTCTTGACAGATCCTGTTGTGCAGGTTCCTGCATGTGGTTGCTCACAAGGGCCTGTACAGTGGGCATGTGTGTTTCCATACAGAGTGACAAAGTCATGGGAGAGGCAGCTACCACCCTGTGTCACAGGCCTTGGTCTCTACCTTCCCATGGCCTGACTCATCCAGTTTGGTGCCAGCAAAGTGCCTCATGCTATAAGGAATGATGTCTCTCGAAGTGCAGTCTCCTGGCATCTAACTGCCCACGGACAGCATTTCTTCAAGTCAGGAGCAAAGTTCTCTGAAGAAAACCAGCAAATGAAGGTAATCACTGACACTGCATCGTGGTGTAGGAGATCACAGCCTTTCCTCAGAGAGGAAAGAGAATGCCAAGGCTTAGTGAGCTACAAATAAGCTGAAGAGCAAACTGGCTATGTGTGTTAATGTTCACAAGGGTAATAATAGTTTTTTTACTGAAAACCTCCTATGTCCTTCAAGGGCACAACCATGGAAGGACAGCTTAACCAGGCAACTCAGTGGAAGCCAGAGACAGCCTGGCCCCGTAGCAACTCAGGTTTTAAAATGAGCCAGAAACAGAAACCCCCAGAAAATGGGTGAAGGGAACATTGGGAAAATTAGATGAACCCTGACTCCAAATGTAACCTCCAGGTGTTGTTTTGTGAACATACCCTGATTGTTTGAGACCCACAGATGGGCAAACTCAGTAATATCAGGCCTGGTGGTATAGCCCGGAAGGTTGCTTGGTAAGTACTGAAAGCTGATTTACACTTCCCTCCATGTCCATATGTCCAAAGGGACATATCGAGTCCATATATCATGGAGTTGGATCCATGATTAATGGCATCCAATTTTGTTGCACTGTTTTCAAATTCATAGTTTATCAAGCTTCAATTTTTTTTTTTTAAGATTTTTTTTTTTTAATACAATAGCTGGGGTACAGGCCAGAGGCGCAGGAGGGTGAGAGGATTCACTAGAGACAAAATGGGGAGCAGAACAGGCAGATGGACTGAGAGTACTGCTGAGGGGAGCAGCGGTCGCAACAGGAGAAGTCTGCCATGCCATGTGGGAATCTCCCTGGCTGGCCAGGAATCGAACCCACGCTGCAGAGGCTGCGGACAGCTTTACAGCGCTGTGCTCGACCCACTGCGCCACCAGGGAGGCACAAGCTTTAATTCTTGAATCTATAAATGATTTTTTTATTAGGGAAACACTGCCCTATGAAACTCAATATTCCGAGATGACACCATATCACAGCAGAATACGATAACTGATGTCCATTTATTTTGTAAAATCCCAGAGATGGTTAAAAAAATTATGTTTTATATACTGTTTAATAAGGCAGAAAAGCATATACTGTTATTTTTATTATCCATTAAAGATAGCTAAGCTCGAAAAATCCTGGTTCTCAAAAGGGCTGGTTGCAGTTCTGGAGGTTTCCTTAAATGCAGCAGACACAAGTACATCTCGTGGACACGGCCCTGGTCCCATGCATAAGGAGAGCAGCACAGTCATCTCAGTCCTCGTCCTTAGTTTTGGCCTCGTGGCCTGTGGGACAAGAGATAGTCTATGGGACTCTTGAAGCAAAAGTAGTCTGTGCCAAGCACCATCCACACAAAACAAGAAAAGGGGCTCTCACTATATCAGAGGTGAAGTTAGGGGTCAGGGTGGAAGGGATAGCAAAGAGTCCTAATCGTTGTGTTAGGGAGCATGTGCAATTGTACAAACATTTGTACATAAAGAATAAAAAGAAAACATCATTTGTTGAGCACTTGATATGTGTCAGACACCAGGCTAAGCATTATCCTTAGTATCCTGTTACCTTCACAACAACCCATAGAGGAAGATAATTACTATGGATTTATAATTCTGGACCAGTAGTGATGCTACCATTATCTTCATCATAGATAAGGAAACTGAGGCCCAAAGAAGGTAAGTAACTTTCTTATGCTATTCAGCTGGTAAATAATGGAGCCAGGATTCAAATCCAGGATAGTTTGCCTCCAGAGCCCCTTAGCAGAAAAAGTGCTGGTTAAGTTGCAAACACACTCAGCCAAAGTAGCATGACTCATCAAAGCGAATGATCAGAACACCACCCCCGTGAGGCTCAAAATGAAGCCTGTAAGAGACTGTGCACTTACTCCCAGATTGTGGTCTGGGCTGAGACCCTTCTAGAATTGTTCCCTTTGCTCATTATCACCCTAAAAAAATTCAGGTTCAAGATGTCCCAGCACAGTCCCAATAGCCACATTGAGTATTTGCCAGTTCACCTCCCCTGCTCCCCAAAGGACAAAGTGTCCCAAGACTCTGGATACATCCCCAGAGAAAAGCTGGCTCTGTTGGTGCCCCAGCAAGGGGAGAGAGGGGCGATGTTGAACCACAACATGTACTTGTATGTGTCAAGTTTGATCTCTGCTCCACCTGGAGTCACACTTCCTATGATTTCTCAGCTAAACTCCATGGGCGTGTCAACTTGTCCCTCAACTGGCAGCAGAAATAATTACATCTCTCAGGCCAGCTCCTGGCTCCCGTTCCTTGCATTCAGACCACGTTTTCCTTGCCTGTATTCTAATCTTGAGACCATGAACACTGCAAACATTTAGGTAATAAATTGGTTAAAACCCAAACATTCAGACACATGCAGGCTCTTTCAGATGTGTGTGTAGCCTGCTGCTAAGAATCCCATCCTCACATCCTTTGCTTTTCCAGGAGTTTCATCCTCTGATCCCTTCCACCTCACCTCAGGCTCAAACCAGACACATGCAACTCAGCAGGAGCAGCTTGACCTGGCCTAGTCCTCCCACTTGTAGGATGGGCTAAGTCACATGCCCTTGGGCCCTCTGGGCTTCTCACACACATCAAGATGACTCAAAAGTGGGTCTGAGGGAGCTAAGTGTCACAGCAGGCTGTGGGCCCTCTGTGAACCCTGTGCCTATCAGGACCCAAGCAAAGGCTTAGTGAGGGGGTGCCATCACCTCTGACTGAATTTGAAGTAGGCTTCCAGAAAGTTAAATTTTCCCAGCTGTTTCCAGGGGAATATGCAAAGTAACTTTGCAAAAAAATACAAGGTTCCAAAGTTAGAATGTAGCAAAAAGTTTGAGGTATTAAAAAGCAACACATTACTCTGAAAATGTCAAACAGTTCAGAACTACTACTAAAGCTATTTGATAAGCCCTGTTTTCAGAACAGGACCTTATTAGACTGAAGACTGTTACCACATATTTAGTATCAGCAACTCCAACATACCGCAGATTTAATGAAGACCAGATCTACCTGACTTATCCAGAGTAGCTTTTGGAACTTCCTCTGAAAACTTAAAACTGGGGAAGAGCAATGCCAGTTCTCGGCTGGCGTCTTCTTGGCGTTCACTTCCATGGACGGCATTGAAGGGCATTTCTGTGCCATATTGAGCCCGGAGGCTGGGAACATTGACAAAATGTACAAGAACAATTATTTCATTTGTAGAGGAGTCTTGCTCTCTGGTAACATGGTCATCGGCTACCAATCAGCACCCTGCACTGCTTGAAATACTTCCTCTGCTGGAAATGACAAGGACAGCAGCGCAGGGCACTTTGCCAAATGTGTCACATACATGAGCTCATTTCACTTGTGCCACAGCTTGTGAGGGACACTGTCAAGATCCCCAGTTTTAGCCCAGGGGAGTCGTGTAAGCCCAGGAGCTGCCATTTTGTGGATACTACCACCAGGGCCCAGCACCCTGCTGAAGGCTTGACAAAGGTTTGCATAGTTAATCTTTGTAACAATACTGCAAGGTAATATTGACATAGCTAGGAATTCCTGTGTCAGGCACTGTGCTAAATGCTCTGTAAGTGTGTGTGTGTGTCACACGTGCGTGTGCCACCGCTTATTTAATCCTTACAATGATATCTGAGGCAGGTCTTATTTTAGTACCCATTTTTCAGATGAGGAAATTAAAGCACAGAGGGACTAAAATGTGGCCCAAGTTCATGCAGTTAGTAAGAGGAAGAAAAGGGATTCTGAAGTCTCTGCTCTTAGCCATGGCAGGTATTCATATCCCCATTTCACCAGAGAGAACAGAGGCTCAGAGAAGAGACTTGCCTGTGTATGTTGCCAAGATCTGATCCCTGGTCTGTCTTTCACTAGCAAAGCCTCCCCCATATAGGGATGTTCAGGCTTCTAACAACTACAAGGTGCAACTGCAGCTACTTGGCCTGCTGCTTATTTCTTTCTTGTTGGCTGAGCCTCTCTCAGCTTCAAAGGCCAGACAATGAATTTGGCATTGGCCATACCAGGCTAAATAAACTCAGGGCTAAGGAACAGAACAAGCCAACCTAGTGCAGTGTGTACAATACTTGGATACCAGGGGACCTTAGGTCCCTGGGTGAGGAGTAGGGGTGGGATCCTGGAATCTATATTTCCTGGGTAAGTATTGCTGGTGGTCCTGGGGCCATAATATGAGAGTCTCTAACTGCAGAGAGAAGAGTAGGAACTGAATCCAACAGCAGGCTCCAGAAGAGGGAGGTGACAAAGAGACAGCAATGAGCTGGAGACTAGATCAGAAGGTAAGGATGTGTCAGGATCTCCTCAAATACATAGCGAAGAGGTCAGGTTTCCCCGAATATATAATACAGGAGGCATCCAGGCCATCAGAAAGGCCTCTGTGCTCCCACAATTCTGGGCTGACATAGAGCAGGGCCCTCAGCTTCCTTGGATGCAGGTTCTGGGGTGGATTAAAGGACCACAGCTGGTAACATCACCTGTTAGGTTGCTCCCTCCTTGCCACAATGGGGTCACAGGGCCCCATGAAGGTTCGCCAGGCGCTGACCACGTCCTCAGCATCTTCAGTCCTGGTGAGGATCAGGAGGTGGCTGGGCCCACTGCTCATGTGATGTACCAGCTTCTCAAATGCCTCCTACCACAGGAAGGGAGAACAGTGGCCTGGGGCAAGGGCGTGAGGCCTGCTCAGGGTCAGTGGGCCATCACTGACAGGACAGAAGAAGGTTAATGAGAGCCAGCATGCCCAGGGAGTAGGGGTGGTGATGACCAACCACACCCAGAGAAAGCAGATATAGGTTAAAGGCAGAGAGATGAGACTTTGAGTTGACTCAAAGTGGAACTCAATATTGACTCTGAGTTGAAGGTGAGTGTATAATACATTGGGTAGGGGCAGTTACAAAACCACATATGGGAATCATATGGATGCTTAACCAAGAGGCAGGATGTAGTTGAGTTGTTTTTGTTTTTCAGTGCCTTGCAATTCTTCCCCCTTCTTCAAGTAATGGCATTCTGGTTTTCCTTTGGGGCACAGCTCCTCCCAATTTCACTCTGTTTTAGTTTGACAACAGGATGCCTGTCTTCACCCACCACACACACAGGTGGACTATGGCCCAAGACAGGTCGAACGACCCTTACTCCCAGTAAGTGAGCTGCAAGCAAGGGCCAATGGAGAGTGGTTGAATCTACCCAACTGCAACATGACTGTCCATACACTTTTGCTCCTGAGATTCCTCTGACTGCCTTGATTCTTCTCGCCATCACTGTTGTTCATTCAATTTTCTTCCTTCAGTCCCAGGAGTTATGGGGTATTCTTCCAGTAAACCCCTTATTTTATTACTTTGCTAGAGTCAAAATCTCTTCCATGCAATTAAGGAAATTTTGCCTGCTACAGCCTATAATCATTTTTCTGAGAGCAAATTCATGGCCCACTTGCCTTTCATATTCTATTCTTCATACTATTATATTTTCTCCTAACCTCAATCTATTAATATTGAAAAAAGAAATGAGAGTGTGTTGGACATGTGGAAGCAAATAAGCTAACCTCGCCAGCTCTGTGTTGGTAGAAAAGTCGCATTTCTGCCTCTGTCATGGTTCTCTCTTCATTTGTTAAAATGTCAAACCCAGCCTCCTGGATCTGTTGAAAATATATATAGATACAGACACATGTTCTGAAAAGGTAAATCAAGCCCAAATTCACATTTAACTTAGTTGAAAAGTAAAAGATAACAACAGGTAACACTAAAATCTGTGAGGACTTCATTCCCATATCTGTCCCAATTGCATTTAAAATATTTAATTTACTTAAGTGGATTTCAGCTAAAACTCCTAAAGTCCACCTTTTCCCACTAGGAGTCTATGGAAAATTGTACACACCTCCTTTTTTCATGCCAAAAAGGTACAGGAGGGTCTGTAGGTACATGTTGTCTCTTACCTTCATGATAATCTCATCAGCCTTTCCATGGACCACTGCGTCTGGTTTAATGATTGCCAAGGTACAGCTCTTCTCTGAGGAAGCTGCAATAAGCCAAGCTGGTGTTATCAGGCCCTGGTCCCACAGCCCCCACCACTGAGGCTCCCAGGAGGCCATTCTCAGGGATGTGCAGCCTCCACATGACACTCCCAGTGCTCCCTCACCTGGCCTCTTTGTTGTGCACCTGCAGACCTGGACTTTAGTGGAAGCACAGGTCTAACTTCAGACCTCACCCTCAACCTGGTTGCACGGAACAGAGACATGCAAGGGACATGAACTATGGAGAGAAGGGATGGGATGAAAGGACAAGGGAAGGGAATCGAGACTTCTCAGGAACAGAAATCCATAAACAACTGAAAGTGTCATTCTGGAATGTGAAATGAGCTGGCAGTAGAGGCAACACAGGTCTGGCCATTCTTGTCCCTTCCTGTCCCCTCTCTTGATTCTGAGCCTCTAATTGCTGCTTGCTGCGATCTCAATCTCTCTCTCTCTCTCTCTCTCTCTCTCTCTCTCTCTCTCTCTCTCTCTCTCTCTCTCTCTCTCTCCTGATTCCTTTGCTAATCCTTTTTAACTCTCCTGGCATGTGGCCATAAGGACAGCCTCAGGTACTAATTCAACATGACCTTTCATGACTTTTAAGCACCAACACAGACTACCAACTGAATCTTCAGTCTCCTGTCTCAGTTTGAGTTCTCCTGAGTGCAAACTAGGTTGGCCAACTAATTGATTGGAGCCCAGGCCCAGCTCACTGATTGGCTGCCCATTTGTCAGTGTCCATAGATCCATCCAACCAGCTGTGCCACCTGATCATGTCCACAGAAGCTGTAGGCAAACCCATCCTTATTGTACTCCTGTTTATATGAACTTGGCCTTGGTAAGCTACCTATGCTCTTCAGACTCTGTATTTCCTGTTCTCAACTTCCACATCAGTTGTGTTGCAATGAAACATGACAATGTCTGCATGGAAGGAAAACATCCTACTTTGAAAATCTCAAAAAAGTGTCCTGCAGAGGTAAGCAACAAATCTGTATTATTTCTATGGCTCTATGAACACTTAGACTTTTAGGGACTCTTGTAATAAATTCTGGATGAATTGACAGTGTGATCACTCAGGGGTGCAAAGTGAGAAGGAAAAAGGTCAGAGCACGTGACTGTGGGACTTCCAAGAACTCAACTCAAAATGGGAGCAAAGGAAAAGAAACCAGTGAAGTGGAGAGCTCGGACAGACCAGAGGGGAGGAAAACGTGGAAAGTCCTGACACCTCTGAAACCAAAGAAGGTTGTGGTAAGGAGGGCATGGTGAATATCGTCCCAGTCCTCAGAGAGTGGCCATAGGACGGGACTGGACCCTCCCCTTGGGTGTGGGATGGCTCAGGGAGGTGCTGCAGGGAGGTCAGTTTGCGGCAGGCAGGGCAGGGAGGGTGGCCCAAGGAACTTAGAAGAAAGGACAGCTGGGGCAAACGCACACTTTGGGTGGTTTCCCAGATGGAGCAACTTCATCTGAGAGGAAATAATGGAGGAGAGAAGAAAGAGAAAATCCCCAAAGAAGGCAACAAATGTTTCCTGCAGAAACCATGTCACCAATTTTCTTTTCACACTTGCTCTCCTAAACTGTATCTCATTCTTTGACAGAATCTAACTCCAAAAGTTGGATTTTTTTTTCATTATTCATGTGAAGAAAAAAAATATACCTTTCTATCTCGTGCAATAATAAAAGTCTTCCTTCTCCAACTCAGACCTTGAACTTAATCCTGGCTTCCCCTGGTGTCTCAGTTACACATCAAATGCACCATTACAGTGATGGGCTTTCTAACTGCTTCCTTCTCTTCAGTGTCAAATTAAAGTCTTCTCCTCATAGGTATGGTTCAGGAAGGACTGCAAAGTCCAGGATATGGAAATATTTGGGGAACAAGGGGAGAGGGGCAGCTCTCCTTCCTGCCTGTGACTTTTCCTAATAAACTTGTCCTTTTAAAATCTAAAAAAAAAAGGGGGGGAAGGTGTCAGGACATTGACTTGTTGACACTTCAGGAAAAAGGTGTTTAAAAAAAAAGCTCAAGGAAGCATCAAATAAGGGCTAAGGAAACTCCCCGGCAGCATTACTTTACATTTACTTTACATTATTAGTGTCACAACTTAGGCCTCCCTGGTGGTGCAAAGGGTTAAACACCACATTATGAAGCAATCTGCAGCCTCTGCGGCACAAGTTCGATGCCTAGCCAGCCAGGGAGCAACCCACATGGCAAGGCAGACCCCTCCTGTCTCATCCGCTGCTCCCCTCAGCAGTGTATTTCAGTCAGTCTGCCTGTTCTGTTCCCTGCTCTGTCTCTGGTGAATCCTCTCACCCCCCCCCCCCCCCCCGCCCACGCATCTCTGGCCTGTACCCCAGCTCTTGTATTCGTAAATAAATAAATCTTTAAAAAAAAACACTATTAATGTCACAATTGTCTATTTTAATAAATGCAGTGTTTCCTGATGCCCAGTACTTGCTAAAGAAAGTCATGCCTGGTTTATTTGAACATGCTCAGAAAGCCATGAATGGTGCCCAAATGCCCCGGAAATACATTTAATACATTTGAAGTCAGAGGACAGACAGCAAGATGTTTTAAGGTTCATCTCCCTAGAGTCCAGGTTACTCATTAAACTGATGATTGGTGTATGTTTTAAAAACACACCACCCCCTATAAGTCTGCTTTGCTCTTTTCCTTGCTTCTTGTTTCACTCACCCACGTCCTCATCTTCACTGTTGTCTTTTTCCTGAGAAAAACATTCATCTTCATCACAAAGAGCCTCATCTTTAATCTAGTAGGAAATCAGAAAGTCGTTAACTAATTTAAATTAAATGACTACAAAGACCTTCAAACACCTGCAGGATCAAAAAAAAAAAAAAAAGCTAAGTTCCGAAAGGATGTCAAGATGATTAGTCTAGAAAACTTTACAAGATCCTTTTTGTCATTGGTGGGGGTGAGAGACTTGAAGACAAGGAAATCCAAGCTGATCTTAAGATCGCGTCTGCCTGTTTCAAAAGCATCAAATAGCAACTAAGGAAAAAGAGTTGAAAAAAGGTTGGCAAAAGGAAAAGGAAGAATTGAAAAACATGTAAATATTAAGTGATTGGCTACACAGTTCAGGGAAGCAGTGAAGACAAGGGTCATTTTCCCCTAGAAGAGGCACTTGAAAATGTAAGCATTTGTGATTTTCTTTTTTTTTTTTCAACTATAAAATCATTACTTTTATTAAAAATGTTTGCAGAACTTTTAAGATCAGCAGAAATCTAAAGATTACTGATTCTGGATGGCTTAGGATATTTTAAAGTTTTCCTTAAAATGTCTACAACTCTAGAATGCCCTTTTTCCTCCATCTTTCCAAATATTTCTTTCCATTCTACACAATCCATTTTTTCAGTATTTAAGGCCCCAAATCAGATATCACTAAGAATGTGCACATTTTAACTTGACTTCTTAGCACTCTTTAAATATTCAGACATTCTCTTCTATCTTTATTCCATCAATTCATGTAAGATCCTTTAATATTGTCAGAATTAAGTGTGTATAGTATTTAGTAAATTGGGAAGTATGAATGTGTGGATATTATTTTAAGCTAATAAAATGCTGTCAGTCATGTATCTTTTTTTTTTGTTTTGTTTTTGTTTTTTAAATAATAAATTTTATTTTTATATTCCCCCATACAACTGCACATGCCCCATTCTGACCCCAATCCCTCCCCTCCCGGCCCCCACCCCCCAAAAAGTGTCTCTGGTTCATAGTTTTTTGTTGATTTTGATTTTCACTTTCTTATAGTTATTCATTTTCCTGATCCCTTATTTAAGTTTTCTAGATTCCTGCTATGAGTGAGACATTTGTGATTTTCTTTTTTGGAGGGGAGTGAGGGAGGTGAGAGGTGGGACTGCCAATTTTCTGGGAAAAATAAAATTTGATTCTAATTCATTCTATTAAAATGGGACTTTGCTATTTGGAATTAAACATGAAAACTTGAACAATAAACACTGAGCAGTGTTAAGCTCATTCAGCAGATGCTCACCCGCCAGGAAATTCCTCTCTCTAGCAGGTGTGTGAGTTTTCAAGGGCAGCCAACTAATTATTGAGGGAAAATTTGCACCCTCTGTTATCATGGAAATAATTGATCAATATCACAAACTATGCTGATCCTACTTCTGCAGGTAATGACAGAATTTAATGTTTAAAGACATGAATTCTCTAGAATCCCAAGTAAAACCTTCAGGAAGGTGAGGTGAGGAGGCATGACCAGGAGAGGCTTCACCCTGAGGCTCACCCCTCCCACCCACTGCTTGATCTATAATATTGTTTTCATCTTTAAATTCATTGTTGAGAGTCAGAACCCCCTGTGAAGAGTTGAACTGGATACAAAAGGAAAATGGATAAAGGAAATTAAAGTATCTTGGATGAAGGAGACTTTTTAAAAAGGTTTCACAATGCATACAGGTTGTAGTGGGCTCTGCCTCTCCCCCAGTGTCCAAGGTGGGCCGTTAATGAAGCTTCCCTCCCACCGCTCCAGGGACTTAGTGAGGGCAGGGAAGGGCAGGTCTCGCCTCCCAGCACATTTCTGAGTTAGTGTTGGAGAAGTGGACCCCTTACCACTCTCCGTTCTCTGCCTTCAGATAACACCTTCTTTTCAGCCTCAAGCTGATCCAGGATGGTTTTCTGCAGCAGTGGAGCATTTGCTCCTCTCACCACAGCCACCAGTTCTCCTCCCTAGAATGCAGTACAGACACGCTGGTCAGATTGCTACTAATCTCTCTCAAGAGACAGCAGGAGTGTCCAAGAGATTTTCTTAGGAGTGTGTCCAAGGTCAAGGCCCATCACCCCCAGGACCACTCTGTCTACCTCGCTACACTCTACTCCCTCCAGCACTTCCTTCAGGGCAAAGGGCAGTTAGTTAAGGGTGGAACTAGGCACAGTGGGTTATGAGTGACTATGTGTGACCCACACATTGCTCATTCCCCCAGCAAATACTTGCTGAGCATTCACTATGCCAAGCACAAAGACAGAGGCAAAGCATTCCCACCTGTGGTGGTTGATTGGGAAGGAGGAAGAGGGGTACTTTTGTTAAAGAAACAAAGTGATAAACACAGTCCAGGAGAAACTGGCACCACTTGTTTGGATCAGTGAGGCCTCTGGGTGACATCCACTGGGAAGGAATGCCAGAACCATGTGTCTATCTGAACCCTAATGGTTTGCAACCTTGAAATAGTTCTGGTTCTGAAAAGGCACTTACTGCATAAAACAGAAAGGTCGGCTCACATCTCCCTCGATATTTTTCAAGGACATCAAGACAATCTGCCTCTGCCTAAAGGAAAAAAGTGGTTAGCGGGACCCTGGGACACAGTGGGTACGGGGGCATGATGGCAGGAGACCCCTATACACATCCACCCCTAAACACCCCCACCCCATACACACCTACACCACGCCCATATATACATACCCCTCATACCTACCTACATCACCCACACATACAGTTAAACTCATACATAGACACACACCTACACCCCTAACCCCACACTTCCCCAACTCCCCACATATCTATACCACACCCTGCACCAACATATATACCTACACCCACACTCCCACACACACATTCCCACGTACCCCGAGACCACACCCACCCCCCACATACATACTCATGCACACATACTCACACACTCCATACATCCTGTATATATGTGTGTGTGTGTATATATATATATACATATACATATACACACACACACACACACACACATCATTACTGGCCTCCCCAGATGAAGACCTGGCTTACTCACACGGTATTCCTTCTAATGTCTTTGCATCAGAATCTTAACTACTGTCCTCAACATATGGGTAAGAATTGGTAAAAATACTTCTTTAAGAATAAAAAGAGGAGAAAACATTTTTTCCTTCTCCCCTCCCCATTACTATTCATTGCTGCCACTACAGGTGAGAACAGTATGAAAAAACCCTCAAATTCCTCAAACTTTGCATTCGTAGTCTGATAACCCCGTATCTGGATTCCCCACTGAGCATTTCCTCCAAGTTCCCTAGAGAAGCATCAAAACTGACTCCCAAGGGAGAAAGCAAAGTCCTTAAAGTCAAGCTCCTTGAGAGATTAGCATATGGAAGAAAGCCTACAAATTTTAAGCACCAAAAAAATAGACTGGTAGAGATTGAGTCAGCAGATCAAAGAGATCTGTTAAAAAAAAAAAAAAAATCACCCTACAAAGTCAGTCCTGCCCTGTCACCAGGAACTGCTGATTCAGGCGTCCATCCCCCACTGGAGCAACCTGCAGCATCCAACCAAACAGGCATTTCTTATGATAGATTTTTATGTGTTACAGTTATTGCTTTCCTCTTGCACAGATTGTATCTGTGACAGGTAATGATCCCAAGTTTTAAACATGCATATGAGTCAGGAAATTATCATATGCTTGTGAAAACATATGCTTTGTTTTTCTCATTGCTTACCTTAATGTGACTTTTTAAAAAGATTTATTTATTTGTGCATACAAGAGCTGGAGTACAGGTCAGAGATGAGGGTTGGGGGTGTGTGAGAGGATCCACCAGAGACAGAGTGGGGAACAGAATAGGCAGATTGACCAAGGTACACTGCTGAGGGGAGCAGTGGGTGAGTCAGGAGAGTCTGCTGCACCATGTGGGTTGCTACCTGGCTGGGGATCAAACTCAGTGCTGCAGAGACTGCAGGTTACTTCATAATGAGGTGCTTAACCCCTTGTGCCACCAGGGAGGCCCCTTAATGTGTCTTTTTTTAAACTGAGAAAGCCTGCCTGTTCGAATACTATATAAGTTAGACCTTCCCTGGGAGAGGGTAGAGCAGGGGAGAAAGCAGCTGGCTGGTACTCTTTCCCACCAAACTGTTCTTTTCCAGGTTAATCATCATTTTGACTCCAAGAATACATCTTTTTCTTTCCTCCTCACAGTAGTAATTATTATTATTTTGTCATCAAGTGTCTGATATAGTCTCCCCTGTGGTCATTGACTATGAATTTCAAATCCATGCAGCTGAATGAGGGTCTCATACATTTTTCTGGAACTTATTCCCATTTCCATATGTTAATCCAGTTAAATGTGAAAAGATAAATGTTCCCCTTTAAGGAGAAGAGATTGAAATCTTGAAATTCCGTACTCTAAAAATAAGCTTCTGAGTTCACAGTACATGAGCTGTGAAGGAGCCCAGAGGTAGGGCTCCTTGTAGGGTCATGGTGATGAGGTCAGAATCATCACCTCTAGAAAAATTATCATCACCCAGCTCGACCAGCAAATATACAACTGATACCTCTTCAGCAGCCTGAAAAAGGCAGTTCACTTGACCTGTTCCCATTTTAAAATTTTTTTATAATGTTGTGTGACATTCTGCTGAACTCTTACTAATGCAAAATGCAGAAGATCCAGGCCAGCCTCGATCCTCATCTTCTGGAACAGGCTCACCACGGGTTTGCAGGGGCCACACCAGCCTTGATAGACATCAACAACTGTGTGGAAGCAGGAAGCAGGAACAATCAGTGGGCACCAGCATTCACAGTGGCAGGTGACATTTATACCTATACATTCTAATCCCCCAATGGACTCTGTTTGCAGGGATATTTAATGGTGAAAAAGATTATCCCGTCAGGGTGTGAGCAAGCATATTCCTCATTCTTATGACTCAGTTTTTAAAATTCTAAACAATGATTAGTCTTGTGGAAAATCATTTTCTTTGCATGGATACTTTAAGGAATTTTCAGGCTATATTCAGTCAAGCCCGGCACAGAGTGACCCTCCATAAATACTTGGACTGAAGTCAACGATTCTAAAAGAAGAATTCCCTGTAGTTGACCTGTCAGCATGCAATCAGCTCTAAACTATTCAGATATAAACACAACTGGACCCTCCCCTAATGAATTAAGTCACTGGCTTTGGGTAAAAGTTTTTATTTTCTTTGTAAAATTAACATTTTCCTCCTGAAAAGTGAATCTGATAGAGACCTAAGTAAAAAGGTAGATACCTTTTGCTTCTTTGGTCCCAGTCTATACCAGGGCTGGGTGTGAGGGAATCCCCTCATCTGAGTACTCTAAATGTGAGGCCTCTAAGCAAGCTAATCCACCATAGGTGTACCAGATGCATGCCCCAGGTGGGGCATGGAAACACAGCAAGTGCTAGATTAAAATATAACAGTGGTCACATTTTAGAGGGAAGATATCTTCCAAAAGACCCCAACACTCACAGAGTTCATACCTAATCCACACACTGCTGTTTAGCGCTGGAGTGGCATGGTTGTGGGGAGTTAGGTAGACACTGCTTATGAACTACTGTGTCAGGCAATTTTGCTTATTTCTCTGTTTTAACATTTTGAAAGGATAGGTTTATTAGGAAAAGGAGAAAACAGGAGAGGCACCTGCATAATCACAGGTGGATGGAGAGCTGCATCTTAGTCAATTTTAATAGCTTGCAATTGTGCTTTTATTTCTTGATGAATCACATTTCAAAATTTTTACATCATGTGAAAACCATTAGTAGAACATGATATAAAATCATGAAAATTAGCATAGTCTCTGGCAGCACTGTACTCTTCTAATCAGGAAAGGAAGGCTTCCCAGTGGAGGGAGCCTGGCATTGGGCATTGTGGGAAATGTAGGGCCTGGCTTGGTGTGGGGTAGGGGTGGATATTGGGGGGATGCTGTGATGGGAAACAGGAGCAGCCAGACACAGTTGGGGAGTGTAGGGACACTGGGAGCAGACCAGCCTGCGGTGGGGCCATGGCTAATGATGACGGTGGTCACAGGAGAGTGTGAAACATGGGAGCTAGTATTTCTGTCCTGTTTACTATACAATGAGGATTCACAGTAAGTTGTAGAGAGGAGAGGAAGCTAATATTTATTGAACTGCAAAAGCGCCCCTACACTTTGCTTTTCTTTAAAAGAAAAAAAAATAAAACAGTGAGATGGGTATTGTTATCTTACTATAGAGATGAGGAAGAGGAAGTTCAAGGAGGTGAAGTAATGCACTCAAGGTAAAAAATGAAAAGCTCTCAAGTGGTAGAGCCATATTCCTTACAATGCAGTCCCCTTTCTGCGTCAGGAATTAGAAGAGATTTCTGTCCCTTAACAATCCCAAACAACCCCTGAGTATGATAACCAGCTAAAACAGCACTGTTATCCGACAGTAATGAGTTGTCAGAACTGAACTTATTAACAGATGTTCAAGCCAGATACATACATAAATACATGTATATATAAACATATGTATAAACATACATACACACATGTTTATATATAATAAACATACATGTTTATATAATAAACACACATGTTTATATATATATAAACACAGAGAAATCTTTATTTACAGAACTCAAGGTATAGAAAATGATACCCATTGTTGTCCTCTTCACAATTCAGTATGTCATTTAGCAATTTTGAAAAGGATGGATCTAAGAAGTTAAATTACCAGTAAGTCCTTTGGAACTGAGCATTTCTTCCCAAAGTTCCTGTGTGCTGATGTTGACCTAACATCAAAAATGAACAATTGCTGTATTACTAATGGTACTGATGGGGAAACAATTTGATGTATTTGCTCTGCACACACTCTCTCTCCTGTGTCTCTCTGTCTCTGCTGTCTCTCTCTAAGTTACAATCACAGTTCAAGCTCTCCTCTTTCAGCAATCTTTTCTCTCTCTTCTGGTCTCCATCCCCACAAGTAACCACTTAGATAAGAAAATTTCAGACATTTTAAAAAAGATTATCAATATTTTTATTTGTTACTTGTCCTAAAATAATACATGAAATACATGTATCCATATACATGCATACAGTATCAGACTATATCTTTTTGCAATTTGTGTTTTCACTCATCAAGTTTTGACATTTATATGTATAAAAGTATGCCTTTTTGTGTTTTAGTGAAATATAATTTGTTTAAATTAAGCATAAGTTCTTTGTCAGAACTAAAATGTTAGTTAAATGAGTCTTGAAAGATGGATACACCCATGTATCACACACCTACCACAATACAAAACATTTGTTACCCCAGAAAATTTCCTCCAGTCTCTTCCCAGGCATTTCCCATTTCTCACCCCAAGTAAGCACTGATCTGCTTTCTATCACAAAAGATTCATTTTGCCTGTGCTAAAACTTTACATATGTGTATTAACACAGCATTATTATTTCATGCTGGCTTCTTTCCCCCATCATATTTTGGGAATTCATCTGTGTAGTTGTGTGTCAGTAGTTTGTTCATTTTTATTCCTGATTATATTACAATGTATGACTATATAAAAATTTGCTTAATAGATATTTGGGTTGCTTCCAGCTTGGGGCTATTATGTATAAAGAGTTATGAATACTCGTTGAATCTTTTTGTATTCATGTTTTCTTTTCTTGTCAGTAAGTAAATGCTCAGGAGTAGAATTGCTAGGACACAGGATAAATGAATGTTCAGTTTAAGAAGAAGCTGCTAGCACTTTTCCTAAAGTGGAACCATATTAAACTTCCATGGCAAAGTATAAGAGTTCTGCCTATTATATATTCTCACTAAAATTTCATAATGTCACTTTTTACATTGCACACTAATGGTAATGCAGCGGTGTCTCGTTGTGACTTTAATTTCATTTCCCTAATGACTAAATGGTGTTAGCATTATTTAATGTGCTTATCAGTCATTTGTATGTATATCTTCTTTGAGAGTGCCCATTGGTTGTCCACTTTATATACTGGACTGTTGGCCTTATATTATTAGGTTGTAGAGGATATAGTACATTTGGGGGTACAAGTTCTTTATCAGAAATATGTATTGTAAATATTTTTTCTAAGTCTGTGGTTTGCCTATTCATATCCTTCAAGTCTCTTTTCTTGAACATAAGTTTTTAATAGTGGTAAAATCTAATTTACCAAATTTAGTTTTATAGTCAGTGCTTTCTAAGAAATATTTCCTCAAAATCACAAAATCTCACTTTCTTTTTTTTTTTTTTTTTTTTTTTTTGCATAGTAAGTATTTTATTTTATTTTATTTTTTTTTAAATATTAAATTTTATTTTTATATTCCCCCATACAATTGCAAACGCCCCATTCTGACCCCAATCCTTCCCCTCCCGCCCCCCACCCCCCAAAAAAGTGTCTCTGGTTCATAGTTTTTTTGTTGATTTTGATTTTCACTTTCTTATATTCATTTTCCTGGTCCCTTATTTAAGTTTTCTAGATTCCTGCTATGAGTGAGACCATCCGGTATTTTTCTTTTTCTTTTTGGCTTATTTCGCTGAGCATGATCCCTTCCAGTGCCATCCATGTTGCTGCAAATTGCATGTGTTTATCTTTTTTGAATGCTGAGTAATATTCCATGGTATATATGTACCACATCTTCTTGATCCAGTCATCTATTTTTGGGCATTTGGGTTGTTTCCAAAGCTTAGCTATTGTAAACAGTGCTGCTATAAACATAGGAGTGCAGGTGCTCTTTGGAATTGATGTTTCTGTGTCCTTTGGGTAAATACCTAGGAGTGGAATTGCTGGATCATATGGAAGCTCTATGTTTAGTAGGTCCAGAAATCTCCACACAGCTCTCCATAGTGGTTGGACCAGTTTGCACTCCCACCAACAGTGCACAAGAGTTCCTTTTTCTCCACATCCTCGCCAACATTTGTTGTTGCTAGTTTTTTTAATATGTGCCATTCTCACTGGTGTGAGATGGTATCTCATGGTAGTTTTGATTTGCATTTCCCTGATTACAAGTGATGTTGAACATTTTTTCATATGTCTGTTGGCCATTTGCATTTCCTCTTCAGAGAAGTTTCTTTTTAGCTCTTCTGCCCATTTTTTGAGTGGATTATTTTCTTTGTTGTTGCTGAGTCTCATCAGCTCTTTGCAGATTTTTGTGATCAGTCCTTTATCATTAGTGTTGGGTGCAAAAATGTTCTCCCAGTTGGTGGGGTTTCTCTTTGTTTTTGTTATTGTCTCTTTTGCTGTGCAGAAGCTCTTTAATTTGATGTAGTCCCAGCTGTTTATCTTTCTCTTCACTATCACTGCTTTGGGTGATGTGTCTGTAAAGATGTCTTTGATGTGCAAATCCCGTAGTGTTTCGCCTATATTTCCTTCTATGTATTTTATGGTTTCAGGTCTTATGTCTAGTTCTTTAATCCATTTTGAGTTGATTTTTGTGTATGGTGTGAGGTAGTGGTCAAGCTTCATTCTTTTGCATGTAGCGACCCAGTTTTCCCAGCACCATTTATTGAACAAACTTTCTTTGCTCCAATGCATAGTCTTTGCTCCTTTGTCAAAGATTAGTTGACCATAAATCTGTGGGTTTATTTCTGGATTTTCTATTCGATTCCATTGGTCTGTATGTCTGTTCTTGTTCCAATACCATGCAGTTTTGATGATTATGGCTTTGTAGTATAGTTTGAAGTCTGGGAGTGTGATGCCTCCATTTCCTTCTTTTTTTTTCAGTAGAGCTTTGGCTATTCGGGGTTTTTGGTGATTCCATATGAATTTCATCAATAATTGTTCTATTTCTTTGAAGAATGCCATTGAGAAAATCTCACTTTCTTCAAGGAGCTTCATAATTTAAGCTTTCGTTTAAATCTTTTTAAGTTTCACTTAAGTCACTTGAGTCTTTGATCCATCTGAAATTAATTTTTGTCTATGTTGTAAGGGAAAGTAAAATTGGGGTTAATTTTACTTTTCACGTAAAGGGATAGTTATTTCTGCAGTTTGTTGAAAAGACTTACTTCCCTATTTAATTCTTTGACAGCTTTTTTGAAAGTCAATTGACTCTGTAAGCGTGGTTTTATTTTGGACTTTCTTCTGTTTGGTTGCCCTATCAGTCTAGTCTGGGACCGCTGCTCCACGGCTGTGGTTACTGTCGCTTTAAGTCTGGCAGCCTCGAGTTCAAGATGGCGGACTCGCGGGCGCCTGGGCTCGCCTCCTCCCCACAGACGCTGCGAACCAACTTTTATACTAGAGCAGCTGCCTTTGAAAAGAACAGAAGATTGGAGGATCACCGTCTCCACGAGAAAAGAGATCGCCACCATCTGAAAGGGTAGGAAAGGCTGAGACAGTCTAGCTGGGGACGCTACCAGGGAACTTGGGGGCGGGGGGCGGCGTCGGGGACTGGGAACCTCTCCCTGACAGAAGGGTTTAGTCCCTCATCAGGTGCCCCAGCACCTGGGAACTGTGAGGGTGAGGGGAGCGCCCACATCTCATCTCGGTGTGGAAAACCGAGGGTCTTTCCTTTCGAAACCAGCGGGATTCTGGCGAGCAGATATCCCAGGACTACGCACAAAGGGGACAGATTGATCAGGGACATGCAAACCTAACTGAAGGGTTTATATTTGTTGAAACTAAAACTTCAGCGGGAGGTACCAGCGGAGACCTCTCTTGGGCGTCTGCTCTAGCCTCTTATCTGTGTGTTACCTGAGAGGACAGACACCTACTGTTTGAAATCAGTTGTGGACCCATCCTTGGCAGCTGGAGCTCCCAGTCAGTTCTTGCTCCACAGTAACTCTGGAGCCCCTTCCTCTAGGGAAAACTGTAGAACTTGCTGGGAACAGATTTAGGATTGTAGCTTTCCAGCACTTCCCCCTCCCGGCACCCCTCAGCTTCTAGGCAGCCTCCTCTGCTACTCAGACTGCCCACCGTTCCTGCCTCTGTTGGAGCCCACTGTGCCCAGTTGCTATTCTTTTTCCTTGCCTCTGGTGAAAGCTCTGCTTGCAGAACCTGCTAAGATCAGAGATAAGCTGCAACTGAGTTTCAGCCTAAGGCTACTGGTAAAGCTCTGCCCTTAGAACTTGCCTTGAGTTGACTGTGGTTGCAGATCCCTGCCTGAGCTCTAGAACCTCCTGCCCTCACCCATCTAGGCGTGTGCCCTTGGCACTCTACAGCAGCTACTTCCTTGCTTCCCTCCTCCTTCCACCAGTACAGATTGGATCCTCTGGCTATAGCCTGCACTGCTGAGCTCTAGCCATCCTGACTGGTTACAACAGAAAGCCTAGCATCTGGGGCCAACACCCTGCAGCTCAATTCTAGCACAAGGCTAATAATCTGGACTAGGAAAGGAAGCCTACCCCATGCAAATAAACCGAGTGCCAAACAAAATGAGGACACAGAGGAATTCACTCCAATAATGGATCAAGACAAAACCCTGGAAAGAAATCTAATGCAGCAGAATTACCTGAAGAGGATTTCAAAGAAATAGTCTAAATTGATGCTCACTGAAATTAAGAGGAAAATTGATGAACAAAATGAGAACTACAGCACTGCAATAGACAAAATATGAGGAGAATCCAAACAAATCATAAAGATAAATAACACAATAGTTAAAATAAGCAATACATTAAAGGGACTCATACTAGATAATAGTTCTTAGAATCAGATATTGTGAGGTTTCCATATTCTTTTTCAAGATTTACTTGAAAAAAGTAAATTTTACTTATACCTTTTAGAACCAACTTGCTAATTTATGCAAAAACTCCCACAGAAATTTTAACTTGGATTAGCTTGAATATGTGGATTGTTTTGGGAAAAAATAAAATCTTAACACTTAGTGACTGCAGTTTATTAACATGTTTCTCATCATATATTAAATTTTTTTAAAAAAGATTTATTTGTTTATTCATACAAGAGCTAAAGTGTAGGCCAGAGGTGCAGGAGGGTGAAAGGATTCACCAGAGACAGAGTGGGGACCAGAACAGGCGGATACACTGAAATACACTGCTGAGGGGAGCAGCAGGCAAGAGGTCTGCTGGGGCGTGTGGATTGAACTCCTGCTACAGTGGTTGCTGAAACTACATAGTGCTGAGACTTAACCCCTTGCGCCACCAGGGAGGCCCCCATATTTTAAATCTTCCTTCATTTTCTCAGCAATGTTTTGTAGATTTCAGTGTATACCTTTTGCACATCTTTTGTTAAATACATGCAAACATCAGAAATAATGGTTAAATTTACTCCATTTCTCAGGATTGGTTGGAATTAGTTGGATAAGTTGGGACCAGTTGTATTGGCTGGAACTGGCTGGAACTGGTTGGAATGACAGAGAAATTGAAGATTGTTCCTCTCATTTTGTCTTAGCCCATCCTATCCTGTGACACAATTTCAGCCTGCCCCTTTACTGATCCACTTTGATCACTTGATTAAATGGTCTGCCAGGTTCCTGTACAGTGAAATTATTCTCTTCCCCTTTGTAATTAATAAGTTTTTGTAGGGAGTCACTTTGAAACTATATAAATGAAAAGACATGACAATCACCACTCATTCTTAATACCGGTATATTAAGGTCTGTCCCTTTATTTATTTATTTATTTATTTATTGTTAATTTTGTGTGTTTTTTTTTAAAGATTTATTTATTTATACAAAAACCAGGGTACAGGCCAGATTCATGGGAGGGTGAGAGGATTCACCAGAGTCAGAGTGGGGAGCAGAACAGGCAGACTGACGAAGCACACTGCTGAGGGGAGCAGCGGGCGAGACAGGAGAGGTCTGCTGTGCCATGTGGGTTTCTCCCTGGCCAGACAGGGTTCGAACTCATGCTTCAGTGCCTGGCATAGATTGATAGAGTTGTCTTTAACCCCTGAGCCACCAGGGACGCCCTGAAAGTTTGCTTTAAAATGTACCCATATAACATATCATCCCGACAATCTTATGAGAAAGCACTCCATCCCAATTCCAAGCCATGCCTACACATTCTTAACATCACTTTCAAATCACCCACTAGTTATTGTCCAGGAGCAGGAAAGAGAGCAGAAGCTGCCTTACAAAGTCACATATCTGGGGCAGAAATGAAGTAAGGCACCCTAAAGAACAAATGCATAGCAATAAGATATCAAAACATATTTGTTGAATAAACAATGACTGAAGAGAGCAGTGGTGGCAGAATCAAGTCTCTGCACAGCACACAAGTACAGACACATGCCCAAATTCAAAAGAACCCATATTATATTCTCTCAACAAGCTGCTATTATATTTCAACCAAAAATATGTAACTTGGGATTATCTGGATTCATATATTCTTGGTTTTGTAGTTTTATTTTCTTTTAATGTTCAAATTTTATGATTGTATAAGCACTATAAGCATAAATATTTTATACCCCATTTGGTAGTTTATATTTAAGTGCACAGAAAAATTGTCATTTATTTTTTCCTTTAAGATCAAGTTTAAGAACACCATCACATACTGCTGGCAAACCAAATACTACTTTTATTCTGCTTTTCTCCATCCACACCAACCTCATCACCCAACCCCAAGTGCAGGAAGTAAACGCCCCCTTAAGGCTTACCTGCAGGGCAATTTCTTTCTTCTTACTGCCCATGGATCTGCAAGAATACAGAAGTCTTATTACTACGGACTCAAGACGTTCTGATCTCGCAACCTCGCGTCATACTCCGCAAGGATCAGACAAAGCCCTCTGCCTCTTTAAGGTGCCTACATAGGAAGCAAAATAAACACTTCACAAAGAAGCGGAGCCTGCTGCCTGCAGGCTGGTGGTTCGCTGGGATGTCTTCTGCGGATTTGCCATCCAGCTCCACTCAGGAGTCGGCTGAGGGGCGCGCGCCGAGGCCTTAGAAGCAGCGCCTGGCGAAGCAGACTCTCGGGCACCGCAGCGCCCGCTCAGGAATTCGAACGAAAAGGGGCTGTAGAACCCTGTTATTCCTATTTCAGTGTATTTTGAGGAAAATGAGCCACCGAGAATGACCTCTCGATAGTGCACGGTCCTTAAAGTGCAGGGAGAGTTTCCAACCGAGTCTGCGTTGACCCAGCCACCGTCGTCATGGCAACGCGAAGTCGGCCGGTAATAAGCTTGCAGAAGTGTAAGCCACGCCCACTCCAGGTTTAACCCAATTACAAATCGAAGATTCTGAGCCTGCCTCAAAGCAGAAGGGAGTCCCGCGCCTTTCCTTCGGAATTGGACGTTGGGGATATAGGAATGCTTTTATTGGCTGAAGCGGTTGTCAGTGTCTGCGGGATTTGAATCTATCAAGCAAAGACCCTGTGCTTATATTGCATATTCTATCCCTAAATCCCATTTACTCTCCTTCCCTGCTGGAGCTAGTCCGCAGTTTTCTACGTTACTTACTGCGTGCCATGCAGAAGTGACTCCGAGTTTTGAGGGATCTGAAGAGGTTCACTTATATGATCAAAAAAAAAATACAAAATCACAAAATCAAAATTAGGTATGAATGTCAAGAGGAACAAATAGGAAATAGTTAAAAACTCGATGAAAGTAGTCTAATCACACCAGTTGAAAGACAGAAATCGTCGGTAAAGGACCTCCCCGGTGGTGCAGCGAGTTGAGCGCAGCTCTGTGAAGCTGTCAGCAGCCTCTGCAGGGCGAGTTCGTCGATTCCTGGCTGGCCAGGGAGACACCCACATGGCGAGGCAGACCTCTCCTGGCTCGCCCGCTGCTCCCCTCAGCAGTGTTTTCGGTCCATCTGCCTGTTCTGCTCCCCACTCTGTGGTGAATTCTCTCACCCTCCCGCGCCTCTGGCCTGTACCCCAGTTCTTGTATAAATAAATAAATAAATCTTAAAAAAAAAAAAAAGAAGAAATCGTCGGTAAATTAAAAACCACAACCAAGTGTATAAGAAAATCACTTTTATTATAAAGACTTATTCACGGGCCTCCCCGGTGGCGCAGCGGTTGAGCGCTGGGTTGCGAAGCTGCCCGCGGCCTCTGAGGCGCCGGTTCGATCCCCGGCTGCTCCCCGGCCACCGGAGGAGGGTCCCACATGGTGCGCAGACCTCTCCTGCCGCCCGCTGCTCCCCTCAGCAGTGTACTTCGGTCCCTCTGCCTGTTCTGCTCCCCGCTCTGGCTCTGGTGAATTCTCTCACCCTCCCGCGATTCTGACTGTACCCAGTGCTTGTATAAATCAAATCAATCAATCAATCAATCAATCTTTAAAAAAAAAAGACTTATTCAGTGGCATGAACCTCTGATTTTAAGGCTTAATAATATGTTATATATAATAAATTATGTACAACTTACTGCTTATAAGTTAAAAGTAAGGGAGTGGAGAAAGTTATGTTGCGCAAAACTGGAGTAGGTATAGTAATTTCAAACAAAGTAGGCTGAATAAGTACATTTATTGGGATGAAGAGAAGGCATTACATAATGTTAAAGGGATCAGTTCCCAGGTAAGACATAACAATTCTTAACATGTATGCCCCTAACAACAGAACATCAAAATACATGATGCAAAAGCTGATAGAACTGCAAGGGAAAATAGATAAACCCACTATTATAATTGAGAACTTCAGCACCACTTTTCAGTAATAGAGCCAGCAGGCAAATAGTGAGCAATGATATTGTTGAAAAGAATAGCAACAATGAACTTGATATAATTGACATTTATGCAATACTTCATACAAGAGCAGAATGCAAATTCTTCCAATTCACATGGAACATTCTCCAAGACAGACCACATTACAGGACATAAAACATACCTTAACAAATGTTAAAGAATAGAAATCATTTATTGTATATTCTCAGACCACAATGGAATTAAACTAGAAATTGGTAACAGCTAATGAAAGAAATAAAAAGTTTTAAATAAATGGACAGATATTCCACCTTCATAGCTTGGAAGATCAATATTGTTAAGATGCTAGTTCTTCCCCAAATAAGTCTACACACTAAACACAATTCTAATCAAAACCCTAGCAAGCTATTTTGTGTATATCAACAAACTGATTCTAGGGTTTATATGAAAAGGTAAGTGACCCAGAATTGTCACTACAATACTAAAGAATAATAAAACTGGAGAAATAATACTATTGTACTGCAAAGCTTACTATAAAGTTGCAATAATCAAGACAGCATGTAATGAGGGGAAAAAATAAACACAGATCTGGAACAGAATAGAGTCCAGGAATAGATCAATACTACTATAGTCAACTGATCTTTGAAAAGGAGCCAAGGAAAGTCCCTAGAGAAAGGATAGTCCTTTCAGAAAATGGTACTAAAATAACTAGACCTAACTTTTCAGGAAAAACAAATCTGGACACAAGTATCGTCCACAAAAATTGCACATCTTTACATTTTTCACACATATAAAAACTCAAAAAGCATCATGTTAAAAGCTAGACGTCTATTTTAATAAGAACTGACCTTAGGGGAGCCACTTTTGTGTTTATTTTGCTTTGTTTTAAAGCATAAATTTCTAACTAAGGTTTACTGCTGTGTCTGGAGTCTGAAAGATTGAAACAACAAACGTCTTCCTCTTTCTCCTGCAAGTCATGTTCATTGCCACAAGGTGGTGATTTATTCCAGGGAAAGCCTTATTGATTCAAATTGGAAACCTGGAACATTTTCTTTATGAAAACACCTCAGAAACTCCATGTGACTGTGTAAAAAGAGAGTGAATCTACTCACTTTAAGAACTAATCACAGGAGGGCCTCCCCGGTGGCGCAGCGGTTGAGCGCTGGGTTGCGAAGCTGCCCGCAGCCTCTGCGACGCAGGTTCGATCCCCGGCTGCTCCCCGGCCACCAGAGGAGGGTCCCACATGGCGCGCAGACCTCTCCTGCCGCCCGCTGCTCCCCTCAGCAGTGTACTTCCGTCCTTCTGCCTGCTCTGCTCCCCGCTCTGGCTCTGGTGAATTCTCTCACCCTCCCGCGCTTCTGACTGTACCCAGTGCATGTATAAACAAACAAACAAATAAATAAATAAATAACATGCCTCTTAAAAAAAAAAAAAAAAAGAACTAATCACAGGGGGGTGGGGGGCGGGAGGGGAGGGATTGGGGTCAGAATGGGGGGGTTGCAATTGTATGGGGAATATAAAAATAAAATTTATTATTTAAAAAAAAAAGAAAAAAAAAGAACTAATCACAAACCAAAGCTGGCTGTGTATCTCCACAGATAACTTCCAGGTTTTCCTATTAGATGGTAAGAACATATGCATGTATCTTTGCCTAGCTGACAACTTTCTGCTTCCTGATACTTTTTTTTTCATTTCCACTAGTAAAAGCATATCCTTACTGTGAAAGGCTGCTGGGAGTCATGGAATTGGAAGCTTTAGAGTTAAATAGACTTGAGCTGGATCTTGGACCTACCCCCTGCTACCTGCAAGAACTTGAATAAGTTACTTGAACTTCCTTAGCCTCAGTTTCCTCCTCTTTAAAATGGAAGCATAGTACTCTTTCAAGAAGATTCTGGAGATAATATCTTTTAAGGTTTCTTGACAGCAAAGTCACTGTTGGTAGTGTTAGGGTATCATGTCTTCCTTTTATAGTGCAAGGTTCTTACTGGGAGGCAGCTTCCCACGCAAGCATGACAATGGCTAACCCTATCCTCTGCAGCCAGCTGGAGCCATTTGGTTGGTTTTCCTCAGTCATGGTGGAAGTGATGAGTGTTATTGCTGAGCCCAAGTAGTGAAGTATCCAACGTGGAACCCTCCCCCACCAACTTATCCCCCCCATCTGCCAGTTCGATGTTATTAGGATTGCTTTAATGACCAGGAGTTTTAAAATTTTGATGAGATTTAATTTATTACTTTTTCTTTTACATTTATTATTTTCTTTGCTCTGTTTAAGACATTGATCCCTAAGTAATCTTTGCCTAGGGAAATCTTTGCCTCTAGGTCATGAAGATATTTCCCTTATTTTCTTCAACAAGTTATAAAAAGTTTTAATCCTAGAAATTATTTAAAAATTATAATGGGGCCTCCCCGGTGGCGCAGCGGTTGAGCGCTGGGTTGCGAAGCTGCCCGCAGCCTCTGCAGCGCCCGGTTCGATCCCTGGCTGCTCCCCGGCCACCGGAGAAGGGTCCCACATGGTGTGCAGACCTCTCCTGCTGCCCGCTGCTCCCCTCAGCAGTGTACTTCCGTCCTTCTGCCTGCTCTGCTCCCTGCTCTGGCTCTGGTGAATTCTCTCACCCTCCCTCGCTTCTGACTGTACCCAGTGCTTGTATAAATAAATAAACAGTTGATTTTTGTGTTCTCAAAATGGATTAAAGAACTAGACGTAAGACCTGAAACCATAAAATACATAGAAGGAAATATAGGCAAAACACTACGTGATTTGCACATCAAAGACATCTTTATAGATACATCACCCAAAGCAGTGATAGTGAAGGCAAAGATAAACAGCTGGGACTACATCAAATTAAAGAGCTTCTGCACAGCAAAAGAGACAATAACAAAAACAAAGAGAAACCCCACTGACTGGGTTTTGCACCCAACACTAATGATAAAGGACTGATCACAAAAATCTGCAAAGAGCTGATGAGACTCAACAACAACAAAGAAAATAACCCAGTCAAAAAATGGGCAGAAGAGCTAAAAAGAAACTTCTCTGAAGAGGAAATGCAAATGGCCAACAGGCACATGAAAAAATGTTCAACATCACTTGTAATCAGGGAAATGCAAATCAAAACTACCATGAGATACCATCTTACACCAGTGAGAATGGCACATATTAAAAAAACTAGCAACAACAAATGTTGGCGAGGTGTGGAGAAAAAGGAACTCTTCTGCACTGCTGGTGGGAGTGCAAACTGGTCCAACCACTATGGAGAGCTGTGTGGAGATTTCTGGACCTACTAAACATAGAGCTTCCATATGATCCAGCAATTCCACTCCTAGGTATTTACCCAAAGGACACAGAAACATCAATTCCAAAGGGCACCTGCACACCGATGTTTATAGCAGCACTGTTTACAATAGCTAAGCTTTGGAAACAGCCCAAATGCCCAAAAAATAGATGACTGGATCAAGAAGATGTGGTACATATACACCATGGAATATTACTCAGCATTCAAAAAAGATAAACACATGCAATTTGC